TTCCCTATATGTGTTTAGTTGTTAAATTAACTTAGGGGTAGTTGCGTATCGTTCCGATCGCTCAAACTTTGTACACCAGTTCTCTACATGTCATTCAACAATAATATACAAAAAAATTAAAAAAAGGAGTGGCTAATAACAAATGGCAGCCCGAAAACTGCGTATTCCCTATATGTGTTTAGTTGTTAAATTAACTTAGGGGTAGTAGCGTATCGTTCCGATCGCTCAAACTTTGTGCACCAGTTCTCTACATGTCATTCAACAATAATATACAAAAAAATTTAAATTTCGAGTGGCTAATAACAAATGGCAGCCCGAAAACTGCGTATTCCCTATATGTGTTTAGTTGTTAAATTAACTTAGGGGTAGTAGCGTATCGTTCCGATCGCTCAAACTTTGTACACCGGTTCTTTACATAACATTCAACAATAATATACAAAAAAATTAAAAAAAAGAGTGGCTAATAACAAATGGCAGCCCGAAAACTGCGTATTCCCTATATGTGTTTAGTTGTTAAATTAACTTAGGGGTAGTAGCGTATCGTTCCGATCGCTCAAACTTTGTACACCGGTTCTTTACATTACATTCAACAATAATATACAAAAAAATTAAAAAAAGGAGTGGCTAATAACAAATGGCAGCCCGAAAACTGCGTATTCCCTATATGTGTTTAGTTGTTAAATTAACTTAGGGGTAGTAGCGTATCGTTCCGATCGCTCAAACTTTGTGCACCAGTTCTCTACATGTCATTCAAGAATAATATACAAAAAAATTAAAAAAAGGAGTGGCTAATAACAAATGGCAGCCCGAAAACTGCGTATTCCCTATATGTGTTTAGTTGTTAAATTAACTTAGGGGTAGTAGCGTATCGTTCCGATCGCTCAAACTTTGTGCACCAGTTCTCTACATGTCATTCAACAATAATATACAAAAAAATTTAAATTTCGAGTGGCTAATAACAAATGGCAGCCCGAAAACTGCGTATTCCCTATATGTGTTTAGTTGTTAAATTAACTTAGGGGTAGTAGCGTATCGTTCCGATCGCTCAAACTTTGTACACCGGTTCTTTACATAACATTCAACAATAATATACAAAAAAATTAAAAAAAAGAGTGGCTAATAACAAATGGCAGCCCGAAAACTGCGTATTCCCTATATGTGTTTAGTTGTTAAATTAACTTAGGGGTAGTAGCGTATCGTTCCGATCGCTCAAACTTTGTACACCGGTTCTTTACATTACATTCAACAATAATATACAAAAAAATTAAAAAAAGGAGTGGCTAATAACAAATGGCAGCCCGAAAACTGCGTATTCCCTATATGTGTTTAGTTGTTAAATTAACTTAGGGGTAGTAGCGTATCGTTCCGATCGCTCAAACTTTGTGCACCAGTTCTCTACATGTCATTCAAGAATAATATACAAAAAAATTAAAAAAAGGAGTGGCTAATAACAAATGGCAGCCCGAAAACTGCGTATTCCCTATATGTGTTTAGTTGTTAAATTAACTTAGGGGTAGTAGCGTATCGTTCCGATCGCTCAAACTTTGTACACCGGTTCTTTACATAACATTCAACAATAATATACAAAAAAATTAAAAAAAAGAGTGGCTAATAACAAATGGCAGCCCGAAAACTGCGTATTCCCTATATGTGTTTAGTTGTTAAATTAACTTAGGGGTAGTAGCGTATCGTTCCGATCGCTCAAACTTTGTGCACCAGTTCTCTACATGTCATTCAACAATAATATACAAAAAAATTTAAATTTCGAGTGGCTAATAACAAATGGCAGCCCAAAAACTGCGTATCCCCTATATGTGATTAGTTGTTAAATTAACTTAGGGGTAGTTGCGTATCGTTCCGCTCGCTCAAACTTTGTACACCAATTCCTTACATGACAATAAATAATTATATGCGAAAATATAAAACGATTTAGTGGCTAATAACAAATTAGAGCTAAAAGATATCAATTTTGCTTTCTTACCTGTTTAAATGAAATTAGGGGTGGTTCGGGGTAGTTCCAAGCGCTCAAAATTTTCACTCATGAGAATAATTCACACATAAGAATAAATAATTGTTGTTGAAAATAATTAATTATTTTGTACTAAATAACATATAACAATATTCGAGAATGTCTTAATTTTTAAGGGTATTTTTTAGAGGGTGGTAGGTGATTCCAATAGTTTTGTTTTGGCTTTTTATCATTATTATATTGAATTTCAGCGATTAATTTTGATAAGAAGGCATTTGTCTAAATTTCGTTTTTTTCGTTCAAGTTGAACGTTCCAAACTTCAAACTCATATTATTATTGTTTAAGAGCAGACGACTCTAACAATTAGTGTCTAGTACATGTATGCGACACCAGCTGTGTTATCTGGACCACGGAACGCAGAAATACGGACTGACACCGATTTCCCGCCATTCAAAGCATCAAAGTTATGAACAATTTTTATTTAAAATGAGTAACATTTAGCATAAATGCGAATACGGAGGATGACGGGGGATATTGAAATCTTAATTTTAAGCCATCAATCGTAATTATTCAACAACAATTATTAGAGAAAGAGGCCACTTCCGGTGCCAGGAGAAAATGCCAATTTTCACCCATTTCCCGTTGACTAATCGTAAATGGGAAATTACTACGAGTATCAGGGACAATTAGCGGAATTAATGCCGTTTTCCCATTTTCGCTAGCAATTTCCCATAAAAACCCGGGGGCCATCTTCACAGTCCTAATATTAACCTAATTATCGAGACTTGATTTTGCTACCAATGGCTGCTACAATGCTTTCTAATTTTAATATATTTTACACATGATCTAAAAATTGTTTAATTATTCAATCAAATTCAATAAACTATATTTTTGCTGATAATAGCAATGAATTTAAAATTAATAATATAGTTATAAAGGTTTCTTTATGCTTATTTATTTATTCATTTTGATAAATTTAAATTCATCAATATTATCAGTAAAAATACAGCCCATTAAATACGATCAAATAATTTATAAACTATTATCAGATTACACGTAATATAAGATAAAAAATGATACATATAATAATAATCTTCGGTATAAGTCTGCTTATATAAAGATCTCGGGTTCAAGTCTCGGTCAGGTCAGTACTTTTTTCATTTTTCGTATCTAGTTTAAATTTTATAGAAGCTATACCCACGTTATTTTCTTCATAATGTGCATATATTATTTATTTATTCAATTTTTAAGAAAAAGCCGATTATTGAGTACAATATTTGTACGAATTTTGTGCAAATTTTGTATAAAATTTATACAAAACATGTACAATGCTTATAACAAACTTATACAACTTTTGTACACATTTGTTCCGAAAAACATACGAATTTTTTACAACTTTTATACAAACACACACACACACACCCGCGCGCACAAACACACACACACATCCTGAGAAAGTACACATAAAATATGCTTACTTTACCCCCCATCATTAATACTTCCTCTTACATTATATGGCCTATCAGCGTACATAATTCAAATCGCAATCTAATAAATGGTCGCCGTTCTTGTGTTCCATTTACCTTCTTCGTGCGGATTCTCCTTCATTCCTCTTTGCCTATTTCATTTCCATTCCAATTTATCGTCATTTATTTGATCCTATTTAACAAAACATTAAAAGAAACGATACCCTTTTCATCTCCCGGGACACAGTAAATAATCATGCGATATCACGTGAAATCACGTAGCCTTTCCATTTACCGGGACCTAGAAATGAATAATGTGATATCAATAATCACGTAATATCACATACCATTTCTGTATTCCTGAATTCAGCTAATAAACATGTGATATCACGTAACAAATAACACGATTTATCACGCAAAAATGACACGTGATAAATCACGTAACAAATCATGTGACTTTTTTCAGTAGGGATGTGGATATTTTTAATATAAAGTCAAAGGCTAACATAATAAGGTCTTGGGTTTAAGTCTTGGTCAGATCAGTTTTTTTATTTTTTTCATTTTCCGTATATACAGTTCTATATATACATCTTCTATGGAAGCTATTCACGTTATTGTATCTGCAATATGTGTGTATATATTTTTTTTAATTTTGTTAACAATTAGGAATAAAAAATATCCTGAGAATTATTCAAAATGCACTTAAGAAAAATTTTTTCAATTTTGTTACTAAAAATTAAAAAAGCCAGTTTTGATAAAATAATTTGATAAAATAATTTGATAATAATAAGAAGAAAGTATAAATGAACAATTATTAGTAATTTCATTTTTATCTACGTACAAACCATTAACGTCTTCATTTTACTTGAACATTGCATTAATACACTGTGCAGGTAGTATACTCACATATACACGCATCTAATTATATAAATTTATTTTGTTGTTTTATATAAAATAACAACATTTTCACATGAATAAATTATATGGAATTGGTGAGTATAAAAAAGCGAATAAATTTACTCGTATGTATACAATTTATTGTTATTTTATATTCAATATTAAATTATTTATAACTTGAAAAAAGACTTTTTTCTGAGTACAATTATATATTGAAAAGGTGCAATTTAAGACGAATTAATTTGGCTCTCATAATTATATACTTTTTATAATTATTAGCTAACTTTTAGACATCTACAGACTACACCACACCACACAACACACAGAGTTGAAAATACTTATCTCTTTCTGTACTTATAATTCATCCTATTTCTTTCTTCCTATTTTGTGCAAATTATTAACACAAGCAAATAATGAATTTCAGGTATCGGTCATGAAACAAAAATTATGCAAAATAATAATTTTTTATTATTTAATACTTCTTGTTCAGCATGGATACATACACAGCTTTAAATAAAATTCATACAATATATACATGGTTATTTATAACAAACTTGAAGAGTAAGCGAAAAACAAATTATTGATATAGATATAGCAAAAATGTACAAAACATTGAATATGAACTGACAAGAAAATGTGAATGTACAATATAAATATATCTACAAACCTGCAAATACAGTATCCTGAAGATTATATTTTATACCAGCAGTTGGCTTTCCAACTTTTGGAAAATCTTTAAGTTTACGCCCACTGAGTTTCAATTCGCCGCTGAGTTGAGCCTCTTCCAAAGTGCGTTCGAGACTCCTGGTCAGCTGTTTATGTATATGCCCATTCATATTATTGTTAGAGCCATTAACAACGGCAGCTAACGCCATGCTGTATGTCTAAAGAATCCTTAATGCTACTTAAACTTTTGAATAACTTCGATTTATTCGTCCTTTGTTGCTCGACGTTATTGTGCAAAGACCAATCTGATGATGACATATCTGTTTTGTTAAGTTTTGTATTGATAACAACGTTCGAGAATCATTCGATTTTTTCACTTATTTAATACTAGATCAATACAACTCTTCACTATCCCAAGCCCCCAGTACGACTGGCAGTAACGTCCCCCATTTGGCCATTCCTATAGGCACTGTAGCCTACCATATTTTCACCCGGTTCTCTTTCTTCCTCTTATCCTCGTTTGTTTCTCTCTCATACACATATAAGCATAAGTAGATGTGTTTGCCATTCGTCTATACCAGAGATGAATAGGGAGATTGACCTCCCTTACCCCAGCCTGCAAAGTGTAATGGACAGTAAAAATAAAAAATACCATTCGAAACATCTCTAATTGAACTCTCCAAAAATGCTCATTATTTTAATTGAACCTCTTCAGTTGTCCCAAAAAAAATTAAAAACTATGATAATTTTTTCGTTTTTTGTAACTGCGATATCTTTAGTAATACTTAATATTTTTGTAAAAGAAACAAGGCAAAAAATTGAACCTTTGCTCGTTTTAATTGCACCCCTCTCACTTTTTCAAAATTATTAATATATATGTCAAAAACAACAATCTAACTTTATTGTATGTTCTTTTCAAATAGATTATTGGGTTATTGGGTTATTTGGAAAGAACATACAATAAAGTTAGATTGTTGTTTTTGACATATATATTAATAATTTTGAAAAAGTGAGAGGGGTGCAATTAAAACGAGCAAAGGTTCAATTTTTTGCCTTGTTTCTTTTGCAAAAATATTAAGTATTACTAAATATATCGCAGTTGCAAAAAACGAAAAAATCATCATAGTTTTTAATTTTTTTTGGGACAACTGAAGGGGTTCAATTAAAATATTGAGCATTTTTGGAGGGTTCAATTTGAGAAGTTTCGAATGGTATTTTTTTTTTCACTGTCCATTACACTTTGCAGGCTAGGGTAAGGGGGGTGGGAGATTGCTAGTTCCCGTGTTAAGAAGCGTGAGCATCCGAACTCGCTGATTCGAGCGCCGCGTCGCGGTCAAGCGCCGAAGCCGGCGCACAATTTTAGGGGAGCCGCGGTGGGGGAACGCAAACGTGCGCCTCGGAGAATTGAGGGGAAGGAGAATGTGTGACTCGGAGAGTAGAGGGGAATGTGCGCCTGCACGGCTTACTAGCCATCGTGCGCCTCGGAGAGCTGAGGCGAATATGCGCTTACTTGCTCGCATAGCAAGTGGGCGGAGCTATGGAAACAAACACACGCTCGCGCGCTCGGCTAGCCGTTCGGAATTTTGACTCCGATTTGCCGTCGGCGCGACGAGTATGTCCTGTTCTTCCTGGCGCGCTATGACGAAATGCCATTCTCATTTTTTTCTTTAAATGCACTTATTTGTTTTTTTTACACTACAAGCTTTTTATTAGGGGACCGTAACCTAAGCCCCCTCCCAGCAGACAAGTTTATCAGATGCTTACGATGCTATAGTCCCAACGTAACGCGGTAGCCGAGGTGTTAGCGCGTCGGCTTGCTGTTTATGCCTCTCGGGTTCGAGACCCGGTTGATCAAATTTTTTTTTATTTTTTTTGCATATGTCATTTATTACAGTCACTATTTTTAATTATTTTTTTGAAAACAAGAGAAATATTAATTAATTTATACTCGCGTAAAAAAGTAGCAAATGCTTAATAACAAATGGAAATATCCAAAAATTTTAGCTGAACAAACCTTTTTTTAATTGTTCATCGCAAGAATGAGAGAGAGAATCTAAGAAAATAATATTCGATGAAAAAAAAGCGTGCATCATAATTTTCATCAAAAGTCATTCAAATCGATTAGTGTCCCAACTCCCGCTTCACGCCACCCGCGACGCATCGGAAAGACGAGTTTTCTTTTGTTTTGGCGGTTATTCTGCACGCCTCATCAGCCGATAAGCCACTCGCGCTAGTTGATGCGACATTGTATGCAGAAAGCCTCGTGTTCAACGTGTTTCATTTCGGCAATTTTCTTTCGAAATATTGTGACAATTAGTGCTTGTGTGATAATTAGTGTGACAATTGTGTGCGAGTTTTCGCGAGTGCAACTCACAAGTGCGGGACAGTCGAAAGGTTCTACGTCCTCAATATTGCCAAACTTGCTGTTTTTCATCCGCATTTTTGTTACTATTTCAAGTTAATAATTGCACAAGATGGCAAAATTGAGACCGTATGATTTTTGCAAGTACCGTGGCTGCACGAAATCGATGCTCACCGGCGAACGTCTCTACCGATTTCCATCAGCGAGCAACGACAAACAAAAACAACGACAAAACCAATGGGTCCAGAATACAGGTAAGATTGATAGAGAGGACAGCGCGAATTGTTATTTTTTGGCATCGTCGTCGCAGCACGATTTTTTTTCCGCGTGTTGAAGTGATCGTCAGAGAGAAAGAGAGCAGGGAGTATTTCGGGGCGCAGAGCTTGTTTTTTTCAATGGAAGGCTGATAAATATTAAATATTTGTCAATGGCTGTCTTTTTCTATAAAATTACACGAAACACATAAAACACGGTTTTCCGTATTGCAAATATGTCTTTGCAGGCAACAAACAACTTCAATCCTGGACAAGTTCATTTATCCATGCGGCTGGACTTTGTGGTGATCATTTCCTGCCAAAATACTTCAAAACCTGCCCTAATGGACAAAGACGTTTGACGCGAGATGCCGTTCCAATGGAGTGGAAAGAAGCACGACCAGCAGACGAACGATCGCAGCTATTGCAAGGTAAACTACCAGCGACGACGCAAGGCATTCTACCACAACAGCAGCCAATGGAGACTAACTGGGCGGAACCATGTCAACCAGCAAAGCATTCGGTAACAAATTTTTTCGAAAAAAGTGAAGTAGAAGACAATATTCTCGATGACACTGAAACATTTGTTGTAAATAAAAGTCCAAATGATGCGACTTATCCTTCTGGTAAAGCCATTTTTTTTAACATGGCTGATTCGGAAACTGATAAATCGTATTTAAATTACGAAATAGCTCAAAATCTTAGTAATAATGTAATTGAACAGAAAGAAAATTGTATTTCTACGAATACTATTCTTAAACCGCTAAAAAATAAAGAGGCTTCGGGTCACAAAAGTTGTTCAACAAAGCGTCAATTGTATGTTCGGTCTCTAGAACGAAAAATTCAAATTTTGGAGAATAATAAACGCGATTATCAGAGGCAGTTACACAATGTTAAAATGCAAAATGCTAGATTATGTACGCTTGTAGATGTTTTAAAAAAGGGACAAAGTGTTACTGTAAATGATTTATTAAAAGTCGGAGATTTCAGCGAAGCATGCAAAACTTTAGTAGCACTACAATTCAAACCGAAAAACATACAAAAATACACACTTGCTGAACAAAATTTGTGTAAGATCATTTATTATCACTCAGCTGTTGGTTACACTCAATTACGTAAATTAGGCATTCGCTTTGCCTCAGAATCTACAGTCAGGAGCTGGGTTGCGCAATTAGATATTAAGCCGGGTTTGTGTTCTGTGATATTAGATAAAATAAAAGATAAGCTGTCCTCGTTGCCTCCTTTAGAGCGTGTATGTGCATTGAAGTTTGATGAGATGAGCATTAAAAGTATGCTGGAATATAACAAAAAAACCGATGAAATTGAAGGTTATGAAGATATAGGGGCGATATGAGAAGTTCCGCGATTACTAAATATGCCCTGTGTTTCGTTATTGATAATCTTAATGCAAAAAATGCTTGGCGTCAATTTCTTTCTTTTGGATTTAACGCGAACGGAGCTAGTGATAAACAATTGCATAAACTTATAACGAAAATATTAACTGCATTGAAAAAAGTAGGAGCTATTGTTAAGCTCATTGTCTGTGATCAGGGTTCCAATAATCAATCGTTGTTTAATAACATTTTGAAAATATCTGTAGATAAACCTTTTTTTGAACACGAAGGGCAAATAATCTTTGCAGCATTCGATTGGCCTCATCTCATTAAACGTTTAGCATCTCAATTACGAAAGCATAGGTATATTTTTGAGAAAAATAACAAAATTGTTATGGCTTTTGATGATTTGAAAAACACTTATCAAATTGATAAAGAACTTGATTCCTCTAATGTTTTAGCTTTTCTGAAAGATTCTCACTTTAGCCCTAACAATTTTGACTGCATGAAAGTTAAATTAGCTTTTTAGTTATTTAGTAGGAGAGTAGCTGCCGCGATGCGAACAGCTGGCGAAGCTGGTAGGCGAGGCGAAATGGGTGGTTTGGTTTCGGATACGTTGGAACAATCGGCGAATTTTATTGAGAAAATGGATCGTGTGATAGATGCTTGCAATTCCTATCATTTAAATACTGTTGACAAACAAAAACGCCCATTGTCTTCTCGTAATCCGAAACAGGAACAACTTCTTTTAGAATTTTCCAAAGAGGCCGAAAACTACAGAACTCACCCGATTAGAAAGATGTCGACAAAACAAGGGAAATCAAAGACTGTTAAGAGACCACCTTGTTTCATAGGTTTATCTCTAACTTCCAGGGTTTTGGTAGAATTGTACAATAATATTAGACAGGAGTTCGTTGAACCGGAGTTCGAATTAGCGACAGGGCTTGCCAACCAGGACAGTCTTGAGCATCTTAATTCCAAATGTCGAGGACGAAATGGCTTCAATATGAACCCAACTTCTAGAATGTATAGATTAACTTTGAGGCATATTGCATCCACTGATTTCATAGAATTACGCCAACTAGGCAACGTGAAGGTTTCAGAAGCTGCTTCTCTACTTAATACTAGGAGTCAGGATGCTCAGCAAGACAAAGCGGCAAAATCATTAGCAGCTATTGTTAGTAATTTAGAAGAATTAGATGAATTAGATTTAGAATTAGAAATGGGTGACATTTTAATGGCAGCTGCAACGATGGAGTCCTTTGAACCCATAGATTTAACTAAACTAGTTGAATTTGACGAGAAAGACTTTTACGAAAAAAATTTTATTACATATTTAAGTGGCTACTCGGCTCGGAATTCCTTGAAAAAAAGTAAATGTTTAAAATGTAAAAATGTTTTTCTGAAATCTTTAACAGACTCGGTGTCTGATAATGAATTCTATACAAAATTGAGAGAATATGAACATGTTAATAAAGAACTTCCTGAAATAGCATGTTTGACTAGACCTTCAGATCTTTATATTAGAATTGTTAATTGTCAACTATTTGGTTTTGCACAGCAATAC